GGGGGGAGGGAGTTTAGCCACCAGCTTCGTTTCCTTGCTGCTAACACCTTCTTCCTTTTGCAGCAGGACCGCTAAGATGATACTTTCTTCGGGCAACGAAACAAACATTTAGGTCTCAACAGGCTGACAACCAAACTGCGCAGTACTGGTTAAAATAATGAAAAATTGCCGGCAGAGTGTAGTTGGAGAGGCATATCTAATAATTAATTGTAAGAGAACACGGCAATGAGTGATGTTTTTGTTTTCAGCAATATGTTATCGCTGAATTTGGAAGAGTCAAATGAAAGATTTCAAGAGATCGATGAAAATCGGGACAATTATGCAACCTGGGACGAATATGTAAACGAAGCATTCGGGGGAATCGATCCGGAAGATGAAGTGAGCATTTGTGTTTTTTTTTCATCAGCAAACCAAAAAATTGTTTTTTCCGAGTATTTTTTTCCCAGTTTCCTATGTCATGCATTTGAGCATGAAATTCATTAAAAAAATACCTGGAATATTAGGAACAGCTGTGAATTTTTACAGTATGGTCCTCCGCCTGGGGAAACTGGCAACTCTTTCATTCACCTTGACTAATGTTGCTGGTAGTTAGGGGGCTGTACTGATGACTTCCATCTCTAGCCATACTTTGTACTGTCTGTGTTTACAGCTAAGGGATGAAACACAGACAGACCCCCTACATATACCCTGAACATGACCATTTAACTTGTCAACTGGTTTGTTCCGCATTAACAACCCAACTATCTTACCCGCGCCACCCTCTATCAAATTCTATTCTTCCAGTCTTGAACCATATGAAATTCAGCTGTGCTGAATTTCCTTCATCTTGTACAGTTCTCGATTTTATACTTTATTTTTTGGCCTACCTACGGCCGCAAATTACCACTGCACATCTACCACATCCCGGACATTCTTGCTTGGAATGACTAATTTTGGCTGGGCTTCCATGGCCTTTCTCTCCTTTCTATTGCATTGCCTTGTGAACAGAGCGTATAAGTGATCCTGACAATCCAAATGTTTTTTGCTTCCTCTAAAGGAATTGCTGGCTCAGCGACTGCCACCGCAGAGGTGCCTGGCAAAGATTTAACTGTTCTGATATGTTTTTTGTACATGAATGCATCATCACCACTTCGCTCTTAACTTTGCCACTTCTAAGTGCTGTAGAAATTTTGGGGATACAAACAATGAATATTCCTAGGAGATTGGAAGAGGGCGGAGGTCTGAAATCGCGTCTATGCGTTAATGCATGCAGTTTGTTTGACGTTGCTGACCCACCGTGGAGAGGAACACAATCGAATGTTGG